TTTAGAAAACTACATAACACTGAAGAAAGATATCAAGGAAGACACAAACAAATGGAAACATATACCATGTTCATGGATTGGAAGAATTAATATAATCAAAATGTCCACACTACCCAAAGCATTTTACACATTCAATGCAATTCCTATTAAAGTACCAATGGCTTATTTCACAGACATAGAACAAACACTCCAAAAATTTATATGGAACCATAAAGGACCCCAAATAGCTGCTGCAAATTTGAGAAAGAAGAGTAAAGTAGGAGGGATCACAATACCTGACACTAAACTATACTACAAGGCCACGGTAATCAAAACAGCCTGGTACTGGCATAAAAACAGGCACATGGACCAATGGAACAGAACAGAGAGCCCAGATATAAGCCCAAGTCTCTATGGTCAATTAATATTTGACAAAGGAGGCAGCAACATAAAATGGAATAAAAATAGCCTCTTCAACAAATGGTGTTGGGAGAACTGGTCAGCTACCTGCAAAAAAATGAAACTAGAGCACCAACTTACACCTTATACAAAAATAAATTCAAGGTGGATAAAAGACTTAAATATAAAAAGTGACACCATTAAAGTCCTAGAGGAGAATGTAGGTAGGAAAATCTCAGATATTTCATGCAGAAACTTTTTTACTGACATGTCCCTTAGAGCAAGGGTGACAGAAAGAAAAGAATAAACAAATGGGATCTCATCAAAATAAAAAGCTTCTGCATGGCTTAAGAAAACAGTATCAAAATAAAAAGAGAACCAACTGTATGGGAAAACATATTTGCCAATGATACCTCAGACATGGGTTTAATCTTCAAAATAAATAGACTGACAGTGACCAAAGGGAAGAGAAGAGGGAATTTCAAGGGAGAATGGGAAGGGTTTACAGGGACAAATTGAAAGGACACATGGACAAAAACTAGGGGGAGGGTGGTATTGGGAGGAAAGCGGGGAAGTTTGGGTGGGTGGGCTGGAATGGGAGTAAAGGGGAGAAAACTGTACTTGAACAATGATTAAAGTAAAATAAAAAATAAAAAAGAAAGGAAAAAATATTTTTAAAATATATTTTATTGATTATGCTATTACAGTTGTTCCATTTTCCCCCTTCACTCCCCTCCACCCTGCACACCCTCTCCCACCCACATTCCCCCCTTTAGTTCATGTCCATGTGTCATAAGTCCTTGAGCTTCTACATTTCCCATACTATTCTTGCCCTCCCCGTGTCTATTTTCTACCTACCATCTATGCTACCTATTCTCTATACCTTTTCCCTCTCTCTCCTCCTCCCACTCCCCTGTTGCTAACCCTCCATGTGATCTCCATTTCTGTGGTTCTGTTTCTGTTCTAGTGGTTTGCTTAGTTTGCTTTTAAGTGTGGTTGTACCTAACTGTGAGTTTGATGTCTTTTTTACTGTTCATATTTTTTATCTTCTTTTTCTTAGATAAGTCCCTTTAACATTTCATATAATAAAGGCTTGGTGATGATGAACTGCTTTAACTTGGTCTTATCTGAGAAGTGCTTTATCTGCTCTTCCATTCTAAATGAAAGCTTAGCTGGATAGAGCAATCTTGGATGTAGGTCCTTGCTCTTTCATGACTTGGAATACTTCTTTCCAGCCCCTTCTTGCCTGCAAGGTCTCTTTTGAGAAGTCAGCTGACAACTGAGGGGAACTCCTTTGTAGGTAACTGTCCCCTTATCTCTTGCTGCTTCTAAAATTCTCTCCTTCATTTTTACCTTGGCTAATGTAATTATGATGTGCCTTGGTGTGTTCCTTCTTGAGTCCAACTTCTTTGCGACTCTCTGAGCTTCCTGGACTTCCTGGAAGTCTATTTCCTTTGCCAGAATGGGGAAGTTCTCCTTTATTGTTTGTTGAAATTACTTTTCCTCTTGTTTTTTTTTTTCCTCTTCTCCTTCTGGTATCCCTATAATTCAGATGTTGGAACGCTTAAAGATGTCCTGGAGGTTCCTAAGCCTCTCCTTTTTTTTTTTTTTTTTTGAATTTTTATTTCTTCATTGTTTTCTGTTTAGTTGTTTCTTTCTTCCTTCTGGTCCATTCCATTGATTTGAAACCCAGTTTTCTTTCCATCACTATTGGTTCCATGTGCATTTTTCTTCATTTCACTTAGTGTAGCCTTCATTTCTTCATCTAATTTGTGACCAAAATCAACCAATTCTGTAAGCATCCTGATCATCAGTGCTTTTAACTGTGCATCTGATAGGCTGGCTATTTCTCGGTCACTTAAAAGTACTGACCACGGAGCTTTCAATTCTGTTTGAGCCATCTTCTGCCCCCCCACCTTTGGTCTGGTTGCGCCTGTTATGCATGAGGGGGGAGCCCTAGGTGTTCACCGGGGCAGAGCACCCCAGTTGCTGGGTTGTGACGTTGTATGTGGGGTCAGGGTCCGAGGGGGAACAATGTTGCCTGCTCCACTCTCTCTAGGACTTCAGTCCCCTCTGCCACTTCCCACAGGCAGATTGGGCCCTTCTGGTGCTGGCTCCCGGGTGGGTGGACTTGTGTACTTTCTTGGACTTTGTCGGTCTCCCCAAGGAGCTCTCCTGTGAGGCTGGGAGATTCTCCAGGCCTCAACCCCCACAGGTGTTTTCAATTGGTGCTTTTAGGTTTTATTTCCTGGCGCTGGGTCCCTGGGTTGCAGTCTGTGTTGCTGCCCATTTTTGCCTAGTTTATCTGCGTGCAAATGTGTGACTGTGGACAGCCAGCTGCCTTGCGCACCTCACTGGGTCTGGTCATTGCCTCCCGTGCCCAGGGTCTGCCACCGGATCCGTCAGCTGCCCCTGTGCCTCTGGAGTCCACCAACTGCCGCCAGCACCCTGTGTGCCCACATCCACCAGCCACCACTTTTTCCTGCCAGGACCCCTCGACCCCTCTCCGTAGACCTCCAACTCTGCCCCTCCTTACTGGTCTGGATGCATGGTTGCCAGGCTTCCCTTCATTTCATTTCTCTCTGTTCTGGTTGTTTTTTTGTTTCTAAATTTTTGGTGTCCTTAGTTTTGGTTGTGTGAGGAGGCACAGTGTGTCTACCTATGACTCCATCTTGGCCGGAAGTCTATTTTTAAAAATATTTTTAAATTTATTTTTAGAGAGAGGGGAATAGAGGGTAAAAGAGAGGGGGAGAAACACTGATGTGAGAGAGAATCATTGATCAGTTGCCTCTCATATGCACCCCAACCAGGGACTCAACACACAATCTAGGCCTGTGCCCTGACCAGGAATCAAACTAGTCACACTTCACTTTGCAGGATGATGTCCAACCAACTGGTCCACACTAGTCAGGGATTATTTGTGAATTATTTCAATTTATTTTTTTATCCCAGAAAGGATAACCTGAAAGACTGGCCTTTGCTTTTTTAGGCTGTCTTTTCAGGTGTTTCCTCTCTTCCTTTGGGGAAAAAAAGATTGAATGGGGTATGGGACACAAGATTGCACTGATGTGAAAACTTATGTTTAATATTTCAAATTATTACCTAATATAAGAACTAGAGAAAAAAATGATCTTATGCATCAAGTGGTTCTTTGTTCACATTCCCTCCCCCATCTGACAAAACAATTATGCAGATGCATTAAATAGAATTCAAACCTTACAGACATAAGTATTGTGGAATATGGTAAGTCTCCCATATCCCATTTTTGAGAGACAAATGCTGTCAAGGAATTAGTGTATATCCTGCCATTTTCTTCTCTCTATATATAATAACATTCATATTTTTACTAAAAAGCATTTCTATCACATACTGTTCTGCAACTTTTCACCTTTTATAATATATCATCTTTCCATGAAAGTACAGTGTTTTTCCTCTTTATTAAAACATAAATAGTATTTCATTGAAGGGATTGCCATGATTTAGTAATCATTCCATCTGTTTCCACTTTAACATTGTTAAATATTCCTGGGGTGGGGGGGAACAACCAAACCTTTCTCAGTTGAAAATCACTTGGATTGATATGGGTTTAACTTTCTAAGAAACTGCTAAAGCTTTCCAAAGTATTTGGACCATTTTGTACTACTACCAGTAATCAATGAGATATTTCATTCCATATCTTCTCAAATAGTTGGTACTATCAATCTTTTAGCCATTCTAATGTGTGTGCTCAGGTATCTCATTTTGGTTTTAAGTTCACTGATGAAATACAACTTAATACATAGAGTGTTGAGTTTTTCCACTGTTTTTTTTTAAGATTTTTTTAAGGGCAGTTTTAGGTTCACAGCAAAATAAAGGGGAAGATATAGAGATTTCTCACATACCGCTTCCTCCTACACTTGCATAGCCTCCCTCATATTGGTACAGGGAGATCTAGGATGGGGGATCTGATATAGATCACTGGGGAGAGGGAAAGAACCCCTGGGTGGCATGGGAGAGTCCCAGCCCAGGAGAAAGGAGGGATCAGTAAATGCTGGAGCTGGAGGGATTGAAGTCTTATAGCAATGCATGACATATTTTCCAATCCTCCAGGCAGCACAGGAGAAGCTGCTTCTCTGGGCAAAAGGTAGAAAAATCAACATGGCAGTGTCATGTTTCCCTTGTAACTGAGCAGCAGCGTGTGCCTGACATAGCAGGAGGAAGCCCACACAGAGTTTGTTCAGGATGGGGTCACAGTAATATGTGTACAGTGGAGAATAATGTAGTGGCACAGGGAGGTGCTGACCAGCCAGTCTAGCCCACAAGATTGGCTAGAAAGTGTGATGCTTCTGGAATGCATGGAATTTTGGACCTGGAGATTTAAACACAGGGTGGACAGAGTCTTACCCCTTCTACTTCCCATCACTCTCTTGGTTGGCGGCAAGCATGTGCTGAGGCCAAGTCTCATGCACTGGGCTGAACCCCAGGGATGTGTGCCCTGGCAGTGGCCTGAAAGATGCTGTGGCTTCGCACTGCCTGGATGGTCGTGGACTGTACCTTCTCTTTCTCTGAAATCAGTGCACTGACAAGTGGGCCAGAGTGCTCACTGACCTGGGGTACTGGATCAACCTCTGGTGCCTGGCCCCATGGATGGAGTCCTTCTAAATGACCAGCTGCAGTGGTCAGCAGCAGCCTTGGTCTCCAGTGAGGGAAACTGCAGTGTGGTAATGGTGGTGCTGGCCCCACAAGGGTACACTCCAGGGAGGAATTCTGAAGCTGGAGAGCTTCCACCTAGTAGCCTGGTACTCCAGAAGGAGTAATGTAATAATGGAAAGGGATCTCTGGGCATGGATTTAGATTTCAGTCTTTTGGGGAACAAGGGAGTTTCTGTGTTTTGCAGAAGAGGTTGGCCTGGAGCCTGGGAATCCCCTGCTCCCCCAAATTCTGCAATATTCCCCACCAACCTTTGTTTTATGCCCATGTTCAGTGGTGAGCAGACAAATCCCGCTTTAGTTGGGTAACAACACCACACCCTTACTACAGTGGTATTTTTTTTTTTACAATTGATGAACCTACATTCAGATATGAAAATGATAAAAATCATCCACAATCTATAGTTCACACTAGAGTGCACTCTTGTTACTTTACATCTGTGGGTTTGGACAAATGTATGATAATGTGTATCCATTATTATGGTCTCAGAGTAGTTTCACTGTCCTAAAAATTCTCTGAGTACCACCTATTTATTCTCCCCACCCCTAAACTTTGGCAACGATAATGTATTTACTATCTTCACAGCTTTGCCTTTTCCATAATGTCAGATAGTTGGAATCACACAGTATGTAGTTTTTCAGATTGGTTTCTTCCACTTATATGCATTTAAGTTTACTCCATGTCTTCTTATAGCTTGATAGCTCATTTCTTTTTAGCACTTAATAAATATTCCATTGTCTGGATGGACCACAGTTACTTTATCCATCACCTACTGAAGGATATCTTGGTTGCCTATAGGTTTTGGAAACTATGAATGAAGCTGTAATAAGCATCCTGGTGCAGGCTTTTACTGGACATAAGTTTTCAACTCCTTTGCATAAATACTAAAGAGTGTGTTTTCCAAATTGTATGGTATGAGTTTGTTTAGTTTTGTAGTAAACCAACAACCTGTTATCCAAAGTGGCTATACATGTTACATTCCCATCAGCAATGAGTAAGAGTTTCTATTGCTCCATATACTCTCTCTCCAGCATTTGGTGTCAGTGTTTTAGATTGTGATATGCTATCTTATTGTTTTATGTTGCATTTCCTTAATTATATATAATGTAGAGCATTTCTATATGCTTGGTTGTTGTCATCTGTATGAAAAAAGGCATATGTACCTTCTGTGGTTGAGGTGTCTGTTAAGGGTTGTAGTACAGTTTTTTTTTTAATTTTTCTTGTGCTTTTTGACTGTATATATTTTTTCCAGATCTAATAGATATATTGGACACATAACATTGTATAAGTTTAAGGTATACAATGTAATGATTTGATATAAGTACATATTGCAAAATGATTCCAAAACTCGTTTAGTTAGCACATGAGAACTTTTAGCTTTATTCTCTTAGCAACTTTTAAACATATAATACAGTATTATTAACTATAGTCATCATGCTGTACATTACATTCCCAGAATTTATTAATCTTACAATTGGAAGTTAGCAAGCACTTTTTGACCACTTTCACCCATTTTCCCCACCCTGGCAACCACAAATCTATATTCTGTTTCTATGAATTTGGTCTTTTAGATTCCTCATATAAATGATATTACACAGTATTTGTCTTCCTCTGCCTGACTTATTCCACTTAGCATAATGTGCTCCAGTGTTATACATCATATTGAAAATGTCAGGATTTCCCTTTTATGCCTGAATAATATTTTTCTGCATATGTGGGGTCTGTTCAGAAAGTATCTAGCCACGTACTATGAAACATAGAGACATTTATTGCAGAAGATTAAAGATACAAGAAACACTGTACATAGGACAATGACACCTCGGTTTCCTTCAGGTAGGCACTTTGGGACCTCACACAGTTCTCCCAGCATCTCTTCCACTACTCAAAACACTCTGCAAAATTGCCCTCAGCTGCCCCATTGTATTTCCATGAATCTCATCAACAGTCCGAATTCTCTTCCCTTTCAAAGGTGATTTTAGTTTTGGGAAAAGCCAGATTTCAGTTTTGGGCACCAAATATGGGCTGTATGGGGGCTGAGTCACCTGGGTGATTAGATGTTTTGCCCAAACTGCACAAGACATGGTGCATGAGCAGGTGCATTGTCTAGATGAAGCTGCCAATCATCAGTTGCCATAGCTGCGGCTGTTTGCATCATATTGCATCTCTCAACCAACAAATAAAATTGAGGTAGTACTCGTTATTCATTGTTAGGCCTGGAGGAACATATTCATGATGGATAATACCTTCCCAATTAAAAAAAAAAAACACAGTTAACATGGTCAGGATCTTGCTGTGACTTTGCTGCACTTTCTTCAGGTGTGGAGAAGCAGATGACTTCCATTGGGATTACTGGGCCTTCATTTTGGGATCACAGCCAGAGAGCCATCATTCATCTTCGTTATGGCCTTCTTTAGGAAATCTGATTTATTTCTAGAGTTTTGACTCAAGTCCTTAGCAACTGCAGTACAATGTTCATTCTGTTCTGATAATAGAAGCCACAGAATGAATTTGCCACAACATGTTTCATACCAAGATCCTGCATCAAAATCTCAGAAACAGTAGTTTTTAGACTCCTCAGATCAGCTTCTAGTTCATGCACTGACAGTCACTGATCTTTGTTGATTGCAGCCCATACATGTTCAACATTCTCAGGTATTTTGCTTCTTGTGGGCCTTCCAAAACATGGATCACTTTCAACAGATTCTCCACTATCTTTAAAGCATTTGTGCCACACTTTTATTTGCACTAAACTCATTACATCATTCCCAAATAGTTTCTGCAGAAGAATGTGCAAGCTGAACACAGAATTTGATGCATATTCTTTGCTCTTCTGGCTCAGACACTTTGAATGCAATGGTCAATATACATGCTCACTCAATGGCATCTACCACCCTCTCTTTGTTGATACATGAGCATTCCAGTCCATTCGCCCTGGCTGCCAGGCTACATTGATGTTGCTCAAACCATTCTCATTATATTAACAATGGCTGGACTATATATATATATATAGTGGGACCCCTAAAACTGTAATTATCTTCTGGAGAGTGGGCTCCTTGTAGTACAGACTTCCTCACTAGTGTTCTAGGAACACATCTGTATTGGTGTACCAGCTGGTGCTGTGAGAGGCTGCATTTGGCTTCAGTGAATTTCTTTGAAGATTCCTTCAATGTATTTGCCCATTTCATGATGGGTGATTTACGAATACATCTGCTCACACTGCAGTGAGTGTTGCAGTGAGGGTTCAGCAGTTTTTAAAAAGATTTTATTTATTGATTTTTAGAGAGAGGGAAAGGGAAGGAGAAAGAGAGGGAGAGAAATGTCAGTGTGGGGTTGCCAATCACATGTCTCCCACTGGGGGCCTGGCATGCAACCCAGGCATGTGCCTTGACTGGGAATTGAATCAGTGACCCTTTGGTTCACAAGCTCATGCTCAGTCCATTGAGCTACAAGAGCCAGGTGTAGTGTTCAGCAGTTTTTGACCAAAAAATGGCATTACCCACATGCCCCACCCTCTCTATTCATCCAATGTCACCCCAAGTGACTTTTTTTCCTGGATGAAAATAATCCTCAAAAGAAAACGTTTTGCCATTGTGGAAGAGGTGAAACAAAAAATGGCAGAAGCACTGAAAGGCATGAAAATCAACCAAGTTCAAAAACTGTTCTGAACAGTAGAAAAAGTCTCAATAACTGTACTGCATCAAATGGAGAGTACTTTGAAGGTGACTGAAGTTTAAACATATGAGAGTAAATACACAGATTTTTAGAAATAAATTCCAGTTTTGGGTGTCACCCCTCATATCTAGGTATAGATATAGATATACACACAGACATAAATAGGTATAGACCTATAGATATAGATATACATTTTCTTTATCCATTTATCTGTTCGTAGACATATAGGTTGTTTGCCTGTCTTGGCTAATGCAAATAATGCTACAGTAATCATGGAAGTCAGTGCAGATATTTTTTCGGAGGTAATGATTGTTTTCCTTCAGATATATATACCTAAAAATGGAATTGCTACATCACTGATAGATCTATTTTTAATATTTTTATTTATTGATCTTAGAGAAAGAAAGATAGAGAGGTGGGGAGAGAGACAATAATTTATTGTTCCATCTATGCATTCATTGGTTGATTCTTGTATGTGCCCTGACTGGAGATCAAACTCACAACCTTGGCAAAGCAGGACAATGCTCTAACCAACTAAGCTCCCTGGCCAGGGACTACTTTTAATTTTTTGAGAAATCTCCATACTGTATTCCATAGTGGCTGAACTAATTTGCTTCCTTGCACAGGTTGGGTCATGAAACAGGCTCCATAGTCAGTAGGGCTCACCGCCTGTGGACCCAAATGAAGCACAAGGGCCCACTGGTCTCCCTGACCAGATGAGGGCACCCATTCAGCTCAGCTCCATTCTGGCATTTTCATAATGGTGTCTTGTCTATGGATTATTACTAGTTAATTTTATTATGAGGAGGAATGATTATGTCATTATTCTATATAAGATTTTTTATTAAATGTCTGTTCAAGTTTATTTTTTGTTTTTAAAGTTTGGGTTGTTATCTTTTTATTATTGGCTTGTAAAAATACCTTATATATTCTAGATTCAAGTATTTTGTTAGATATATGTGTTGGAAATATTTTCTCCCCTTCCATGTCTTTTCTCATTTTTGCAATGGTAGTTTTTGATGAGCAGAAGTTTTAGATTTTGATGAAGACATGAAGCCCTTTTTAATGATTTGTGCTTTTTTCTCTCTGCTTTAAAAAATCTTCTCCTAGGTCACAAAGATATTTTCCTATCTTTTTCCTAGTAGTTTAGTTTCTCTGCTTAGGTATAGGAGCCCCTCTTCCTCCATCCTTTGAATTCCTAATCTAATTCCTCTTTGTGAAATTTTTAAACCTTTTATTTTTTTGCTTTGAAAATGATAAGTATAGTTATTTTAAATTTTGCTCCTGATAGTTTTGGCCCAGATTCAGAAAAATTGCTTGTATGAACAGGATGATATTATTTTTCCCCAGAAAGGATATATTTTTTATGCCAGGCACCTGTAGGAATTTGTGATATAGGATAACCGTCACCTAGTAT